ATGGAGGGGACACCCCGCGCCGCTAGGGCAGCCGGTTCGTCCCCGCTTGGGTCCTCCCGCCACTGCCCAAGCACGCGAGTTCGGCGCGCCCCTCCCGTGCAGAGCAACCCGCCCCTCCCCCCACTGTCAGTGCCGGGGGAAAAAAATCCATAACGGGAAACTCACGGGCTCGCCAGGGTGTGCGTCACACCGCGATTACGTCACACGCTCTGCGTAATGACGTCACCCGCAGCCCCACCCCAGCCTGTGCTGAAGAAACACGCATGCGTTTAACTTTCCCGCTTCCGCGCATTGTAGCGTCCCCGCCTCCCAAAGGCGACAAGCTGTCAGTGCCGGGGGAAAAAAATCCATAACGGGAAACTCACGGGCTCGCCAGGGTGTGCGTCACACCGCGATTACGTCACACGCTCTGCGTAATGACGTCACCCGCAGCCCCACCCCAGCCTGTGCTGAAGAAACACGCATGCGTTTAACTTTCCCGCTTCCGCGCATTGTAGCGTCCCCGCCTCCCAAAGGCGACAAGCGCTTCTATGTGCGAAGTGGCAGCGCACAGGCGCCGCTATTCGAAACGGCTGGCGGGGCGGGGGCTGCTGGAGCTGGTTCCGTTAGCTACAGTTCAGCTCAATGACTTTCAGATTTTTCCCCCGCCCATAGCAGGCGAGCGAGTCACCAGCCAGCCGGGGAGGCAGAGCGCGCCCTAGGCACAGTGACTTCTGTGTGAGGGGGCTAAAGTGGACCAGGGACTGTACTGGCGCGTGGGCGGATTACACACCTGCCTGAGGCTTGCAGGGGGGCAGCATTCCCTCCTCCTCCCGCCCCCCACCAGCTACACCCATGGAGCTCTCACAGTTCTCGTCCTTCCCCCAGGCTGAGGAGCACTTGTAGGAATATCTGCCACACTTACGCAGTGTCACAGGGACGTTTTTAAGAGTGGGGGTGCTGACACCCTCCTTACATTGGATTCCCCACACCCAGAGGAGGCCGAGCCTGGCACACAGTTACAGCCAGGATCCGGGGAGAGAGCTAGCAGCAGGGCTCCCAGAGCCTGGAGTGGCAGCAGAACCACCCCCAAAGCATGGGGCAACAGCAAGAGAGCCCACAGAGTGCAGACAGGACACTGAACTCTGGGCCAGGAACTGGGGAGGGGTGGGATGGCTGCAGCACCTCCCATGCCTGTGGCGTATATGCCTTGCCTGTATCCAGTGTCTCCTCACTTGTACTGGTGAAAACTAGCTACCTGAAGAACTGAAGTTGGAGCAAAAGTTAAGACATTGGGCTAAGTCCTTCAGCACATTGTTTCCTACTTGAGTCATTTTTTGTGTCCCTCATTTTGGCTTGTAGGGTGATCCTATGTCCCGCATTGGTTGGGCCCATTCCTTTTTTAAGCCCTGGCCCAGCTGTCCTGATTTTTTTTTTTTTTTTTTTTTTTTTTTTTTTTTTTTTTTTTTTTTTTTGCAAACATGGACAATTATCTTGTTTGATTTTTCTGACTTGACCAGTTAGCAAGAACAAACAGGATTAATGTGCACCTTTGTCAAACATTTGACAAATTTTCATTCCCCACTCCTGTTAAAGAAACAGCTCTCTCTCTTTTTTTCCTTTCCTCCACCAATTTTCCTGTCTGGGGTTCCTCAAAATTCTAAAAGGGTTCTGTGGCCAAAAAAAAATTGGGAAACACTGATGTAAAAGGCTAACGCCCTGTGTACATCCAGAGTGCAGTCTACTTTCTTAGTGGGAGACGTGTGTCTTAGGGTAGAATGTTGGAAAGACAATGGACTCATTAATGTGGAACTCTGAATTTATCTTTGGTAAAAAGGCCAGCTGAGGTCGAAGTACCACCTCATGAGTCATAATAACACCATATAGGGAGGCGCAGCCAAAAGAGTAGCAAGCTCACCTATTCTGTGTGCAGACATTATTGCTAGTAAAAAGGCCATCTTGGTGTTTAGTATCATTAGTGGGCAGGTTGCCAATGGCTCAAGGGGGTTCCACATCAGAGCATCCAGGACCAAGAGCATCCAGGACCAGCTCCAAGTTCCATGGATGAGGTGGGTGTCTATGAGATGGGTAAAGATTTGCCAACCTCTTCATAAATCATTTGGTGATTGAGTGAGAGAAAACAGAATAACCATCCACAGTATGCTGGAAAGCTGTAATCAATGCAAGGTGGACCTTGAGGGAGGACAGGGCTAGACTGGAATGTTTTAACCCTAATATGTAATAAAGTATGCAAGGAATCGAGGTAGAGGATGGTTGTAAGTTGTTGACCGTGCACCAAAAGCAAAATCTGCACCACTTATGTAAGTAAGTAGATCGGGTAGTAGGCCTTCTGCTCTGTAAGAGAACTTGTTTCACATCCTGGAAGCAGCGCATCTCTATGTCCTGGAACCAGTCAAGAACCATGCTGTGAGCGGAAGATGCTCGGGTCGAGGATGCAGTATGGCTTCGTGATCCTGGGTGAGGCAGTCATGGAGTATTGGTAGTAGATAGTGTAGATGAGGAGCAGAAGAGATAGGGCAATCACATTTGCCGGGGCCAGAGCTGGACTAAGGGGTGGGCGAGCCGGACAGCTGCCCGGGGTGCCAACCGATGGGGGGCGCCTGATGGCAGCTGTAAGGGGCGCGTGGCGTCCCTTATAGCTGCCATCAGGCGCCGTGCACCCAGCTCCCACAGCACCGGCCCCCCCATCTCCGCAGCGCTGGCCAGCAGCGCCCTTCCCCCCACGGCCACAGGGCCCTGCATGGCCAGGCAGGGCCTGCCCCTTGCTGGCAGCCTGCTGGGCCGGGCTGGGCAGTGCATGCACTGTGCACCCTGGGGCGGGCCTACGCCCCAGGAGTGGGCCCGCGCATGCGCCATGCGCCCAGGGAAGGCGCCGTGCGCCTGGGTTCAGGGCGCCAAAATGGTTCGGAATGGCCCTGGCTGGGGCCAAAATGGAGCTATTAGAATCACTGTGGCCCTATCTCTGGCAATTTTCTCCACAACTCCCTGGGAATCAGAGGAGTTGTAGGAAATGCATATAGCAATTGATGGCCCCAGTTGAGGAGAAAGGAATCTCGCAGTGTTCACCCTTGAACAGTAAAAATGGCACTTCATGTTGTGACATTTGGCAAATAAATCTATGGTGGGGAACCCCCAAATATGAAAGGTGTCTCACAGAACTTGGGGGTGTATTTACCTCTTGTGGTCCCTGATGAAGTATCTGCTGAGGGCTTTGGCTGTAATGTTGTCCTTGCCAGGGAGGGTCAAGATGATGCCAGGATGATGACGTCATAGCAGATGCACCAGTTCCATAGGCACACTGCCTCTGCACAGAGGGAACGTGATCAGGCTCCTCCCTGGCAGTTTATGTAGAAGACTGTAGTCATATTGTTGGTTAGTACCCAAATGGTGTGACCGTGGATAATATTGAGAAAGTGCTTGTATGCACTGAAAACCGCTTTTAACTCTAAGAGGTTGATGTGATAAGCTGTCTCTTTCATGGACCAGTGGTTCTGAACACAATGGTCATTGAGATGTGCTCCCCAGCCTACCAAGGATGCACCTGTGGTAATCTGTATTGTCGGTTGAGGTCGGTGGAAGGGAACCCCAACTAACATATTTGTAGGGATAGTCCACCACTTCAAGGACCACACTACCGTCGGAGACACGCTTGTGGAAGTCATGCATCCCCAGAATGTAGATGGAAGCTACCCAGTGTTGGAAACAGCACAGATGGAGTCTTGCGTGATCTACCACATATGTCGTAGCCACCATGTGTCCTAGGAGCTGTAAGGAGGTAACTATCTTGGAATCTGTGCAGTGGTAAATATGCACGGGCAATGGAGGCATCCAACCTTGTGTTGATGAATTCTAGAGATTGTTGCAGTGTAATCAATGACTTTGGAATGTTGATTAAAAGGCCGAGTGCTTCAAAACCATCTTTTGTTATGATGATGGAGTAGAGTGTATCGGTGAAGGACAGACCTTTGATTAAACAATCGTCCAGATATGGAAATATGATTGCACTGGCTCATCGTAGGTGTGTTGTAACAACTGCAAGTGTCTTTGAAAACACCCTTGGTGCTGATTATAGGCCAAAGGGGAGTACTCGATACTGGAAATGTTGGCTCCCTACTACAAATCTCAGGAAGCGCCTGTGTGCTGGATGAATCATGACGTGGAAATAGGTGTCTTGCAGGTCGAGGGACACAAACCAACCCCCTTTGTCAAGAGCGGAGATAATTGATGCTAGGGTCACCATACGCAATCTATGTTTTCAGATGTGTTGGTTGAGTTGATGTAGATCTAGAATAGGGCACCATCCCCATGATTTCTTCTGTGTGAATAATGGGAATAAAATCCTCTGTCCTCGAACTCTTCGGGAACTCTCTCTACTGCACCGATAGTGAGCAGGGGCAGGATCTCTTGTTTCAAGAGAGCCTCGTGAGAAGGGTCTCTGAAGAGGGATGAGGAGGGGGGAGAAGGAGGAGAAGTGAAGGGGATTGAGTAGCTTGATGCTATCAACTCAAGCACCCATTGATCGGTGGTGATGACAGCCCACCGTCGTTGAAATGGTCTCAGGTGGGGATGGAACAAAGGAGATTCTTCGTGTTGGTGACTGAGGCATGGAATGGTTTGTAGACCCTCGATCAGCGCATCATGCTTGCTGTTTGTTGTTTTGATGGTTTGTTGCGCAGTTGTGTTGGGGACGCCTCTTCTGCGGGCACTGTCTGGGCTGGTTCTGGTCCAGGCCTCTGTGTTGTGGTGTGTAGGAGAAGGGTTGGCATCTTTGATAGCGCATATATTGTGTACACATGTAAGGGGGCGTATACATGCCCAGTGTTCTCAGGGTGGTCCTAG